AAAAAAACATTCTAGACTCCATTAACTTAAGTAACCGAAAAAAATCAATTCATAACTCAAGCCAAACAAGCAACATTTCAGAACATCAAAGAAAATATTTCTTTAAGAATCAGAAAAATAATTCCCATTGCATGAGATATTCCACAATTAAATCACAGAAGAAAGTGGAATTCTAAAAGATATTACCGTAGAGAGAAGAAATCGTGAGAGAGGGATTCGGGGAAAAAACTTCACAAAAAAAAAATAATAGTAATAAATAAAAAAATCGCTCCCCCAAAACTTCATTCAAAGGGGGGTATTTATTCCCGGAAAAGGGAATAGGTGCTTACCAAGCAACTCACCTGCGGTGAAGAGAAATGCACAGATGGCAAGAAACCGACCAAGAATAAAAAATCGGAAGGCTATCTTACGCATTTAAGCGGGAAAAAAAAATTAACGGTGAAGTAACCGGCGGCGAGAAGAGAATATCACAGGGAAAAGTTTGATTAGGTCTTGAGAGAAAGGAGGTGATCGGAGAAACGCAAGGGAGTCTGGTTAGAGTATCGAATGAAACAAACCCGTGGAGAAGGATGCAGGCATGAGTGGGGAGGGGAAGCGTAAGTTTATTTTTTTAATTAAGAAATCCCTTTTTTTTCTTTTCATATTATTATTTTATTTAAATTCATCAATTTGTGCACCACTCGATCTTATCCAAAACCCTATTATTATAGGTATCATTCCCATGTAAAATCGATGCCCTGAACAAGTTGACGCGATCCATTTTGTCATCCGGGGTCATCCAAACAAGTTTGCCTACGATCGTACCAATTTAACTCCAATTCATGTAACATGGCACTTGAAGTTATTTGGTAAGATCAGAGCCGTTTAACAAGCAAAATACTGACCGATCTTTGCCTAAGCAACAACCAAAGTCAAGCAGACTGCTCGCGGTGGCGAGTCAATCGTCGTACGTCATGGGGTCCCCTCTTATGGCTTTCAAATCCCTATGGGAGCTCAACTTGAGCTTGAATACGTTGATTTTAATCGAGTAAATCAAATATTGAGGATTTGAAACAAACCATATAAAACTACAATGAGCGAAGAAATGGTTTGAATTTCTAAATATTGTAGGTCTCAGTCTAGTTCTCTAGGAGTGTCAAACAACAAATCCTAAGGCTAGATCATATGCTCTGATAGAAATGAGGACCTCATAAAAGTGAGGTCAACAACAACCCTTGAGACATAACTAAATACGAGGGCTTCTCTATTTAAATAAATAAACCCTATCTTATTCTGATAAGGTAAATAAAAAATCCCTGATTCCACAAACCCATAAATTTTGAAAGTTTTCTTCATTTGAGTGGTTAGAAATTTTAAGCTAATATTTCTATTCCTCAGGATGGTGTGTTATTCTTCAGATGACGCATTCGATCATTTAGAAAGAAATATCCTGAGTTCTTTGGTGGATATCAAACCTGCCAAAAAAAAAACATCCAACAATAATAACATCAATGATGTTCACATCCACATCATCTCATGATAGCATAAGAGAATACACAAAAATAATCACATTGAATGAAATCATAACAAATATACTAACATATCTCTAAAATCCCAACATAATAAAACCAATACAAGAAACGAAAAAGGACTAAATGAGTATGATATTCAGACACAAAAAAAAATTATTAATCTTAGCGGTCAGCATCATCATCCTCATCCTTATCATGCTCCTCATCTACGTTAGTCATAGGTGTCTTGCGAGGATGATGAGCTTTGTGAGGTAGTTCTTGAATGGTTGCCTCCATGCTCTCAACTCTAGCATCCCTAGCTTGGTATATCTCTCTCAACCTCGACTCATTATTATTCAGATTGACAACATACATGGCATACAAGTCCTCGGTGAGTGTGGCAACATGCTTAAAAGTCAAGTAGTAAATGATAAAAAATTAAGCTGACTTTTCAACTGATATACAAATGTTGATAAATTTTATTTTCTTATTCAACCACTTACTTTTCAGCCTAAAAATTGTCATTTGACTACATCAGCTAATATTTCGATTCGAGATTGATTCAATAAATAGAGGGCTCATTTAATAGAATTCCTAATTCTTTGTTTCTTTGATTTTGGATTCAAGTATTATGCCTTTAACTTCTTTAAGTTGTATTGGATTGAAGTATTATGCCAATAAGTTATTCGGAATAAGCTGCCCCAAACAGTTTTACCAGACAGGGGCAAGAAGGTCATTTATACAACCATAACTACAAATAAACTATTCTGAATAAGCCGCTATTCTGAATAAGCCGAATAAGTCGCCACAAACAGTAAGCCAGCTTATCTTGATAATCTGCAGATTATCAAATTATCAGAATAATCTGCTTATTAGCACATTATAAATAATCAACAGCTACCCCAAATAGACCCTATATATAGTTCTGTTTTAAAATAAGGCTTATTTATGTTTTAGATTTTGAATGATATTTAGTTATGCATTGATTTATGTTTTAGATTTAAGTTTAATGAATTTAATTTATGTTTGAATTTAGTTTAATGAACTTGATTTAGTTTTTGATTTAAATTTAGTGAATTTGATTTATGTTTGACAAACTTGATTTGAGTTCAATAAATTAAATTTGAGTTTAATAAATTTATTTGATTTTAGTTCAAATATAGCTTAAAATAAACTACAAATAAGTTGAGTTCATCATGAACCAAAAAATGGAACAAAAAGAAAATTTTGCTTGGTTTGTGTGCCTTAAAAGATCCTCATAGGTTGACTTCCTCATTAGAAAATCATGTCAAAGATTAATTATTAGAGATTAATGAGACATGAAAGTCATTTGAGGTGGATATACCTGAATTATGGAGCTCTTTCAAATTGAGACCTGATCTTTGTGAATAATATTAAAAAAAGTTCAGTGGAGTAGAGATTCATGGGTTAATTGAGGTCTAGTATTTAGAATAACCAGTAAAAAAGAGTCAGTTAGCAAAGGAGATTGATCGCTTTGATAATGGCTTAAAAAAGATTAACCTGTTTGATAGAAGCATTTTGAGGAGAGTAGATTCATGCACATGAAATATTTGTCAAGTGGAGGGGATGCCCGTGGGGATTTCATATTAGCCTTTCTCTCCTTTGGCAAGCTAGAGGAGGGAGAGATGGGGTAAGGGGATGGCGACGAAGAAGCGAGAAAGGCATTTAGGGTTAATAGTTTTTTCTTTGGTTCCTTAATGACTCCAACTCTCATCCATTCATGCTCTTGAATGAGCTTCCAAGTGAAGGGGGTGGGGTGGGGATTTCATTTTTGTTGTCCTCTCCTTTAGGAAACCAGTGGTCGGAGAGATGTGGCAAGCGGATGGCGGCAAAGAAGAAAGAAAGAAACTTATGGTTAAAAGTTCTTAGTTTGGTTCTTTAATGACTCCTACTCTAACCCATTCATGCTCTTGAAAGAGCTTTCAAGTGGAGGGGGTGGAGTGGGGAATTTCATTTTTGGTGTCCTATCCTCTGGGAAACCAAAGGAGGGAGAGATGGAGCAAGGGGATGGCGGCGAAGAAGAAATAAAGAAAATTAGGGTTAGTAGTTCTGAATTTAATTCTCAAACTCTAACCCATTGAGTATTATCCGCTTTGGCCAAACGGCCTTATGGTTTTATCCCCTCAGTGTAACTTCTCAGGAGATCACCATCCGAGGAGTGTACCCATACGAGCAAGCTTAAATTAGGAATTTTCGATGAAATTCCAACAATTACACCAAAAAGACATCTTGATGTTTAAGAGTTTAGCTTCATTTTACTTAAGAAGTTTCACAATTTCCCGCACTTAAGTAACTGTCGTCCTCATCAATTTTCTAAAACAAAAATCATCCATCAGGCGTATAGAATTGTAGAGGTGGCTTTTATAAATTCAAGAGATGGTTCTCAAAATATAGTACTTTGTCTTTTGATGGTTCAAGAACTGGCTCCCATGGCAGAACACTTTGTTCTATATGACATATTGCTCCCATCTTCAAGCTGGTGTAATGCTATTATAACATTCGTAACAGTTCGACCAGTTGAGCTATTATCCGCTTTGGCCTAATAGTCTCATAGTTTTAGCCCCTTGGTGGAACTTCTTAGTAGGTCACCCATCCTAGGAGTGGACCCAAACGAGCACACGTAGCTTTAGAGTTTGTAATGAAATTCAACGTTATACCTAAAAGCACCTCGATATTTAGACTTTAGCTTCATACTACTCATGGTGTTTCACAAAGTTCACACACCTCGGATGCAACCAAATCAACCAATTCTTCTAACCTTTGTTTGAACCTATCCATACCCATTTGATGAGAGTTTTATTTATGCTCTTAAAATTTCAATATTGTATACAAATTGCTTTTGTGATGCTCTGTTTATTTTAGTTATTAACTTCTCTCTTTTGATTCCTCTTTGTAATTGCTTTTAATTACGGAATTAGGCTACTATTGTCTTATTAAAAAAATTGATCAAAATTTATTTGGGAGAAGAGACTGGGAAGATTTTAGAAGAGGGAAATTACGTATTAAGGGCTTTTGGAAATTTTACAGACCTGGCACGCAATTCTTGTGAATTTACATATCTCACCTTTTGTAGAACATAATGAAAGCCACTCAATTAATTCCGAGAGAGGATGGCAGCACTTCTCTCACATACATTCCTAATCCAAAATGGAGAGCTAGATCACGACAGCTTATAACATGTCTAAATTCTTCAAAGTTATATGTAAAAAATACATATGAATATATTAGGGGAAAAAACAACTATCAAAATATACTGAACTTTTTAAGAAAAAACAGAACTTGACCGACGCAATTAGTCAAGCAGCTGTTAGGGAAGCACAAACTTAATCTCAGATATCCCTTCGATAAAATAAAAGAAAAGAGCAGACATAATCAAAACAGAACTTGACCGACGCAATTAGTCAAGCAGCGGTTAGGGAAGCACAAACTTAATCTCAGCTATCTCTTCGATAAAATAAAAGAAAAGAGCAGACATAATGGAATGACATAATCGAATGGCTAGCTTCTTCCATAAGAAAGCACCTAAAGAAGAGTAATTAATACAATCATCAATTCTACGCGACTCATTGGAAGCAGCAGAAAATACTCATATAAATAATAAAAGTCGAACCATTTCTTCACAGAATCTGATGGATGAAGCAGCAGCAGCATCGAGCTTGTCCGGCGAGATAACAGGGAACAATGGGGGGACTGAGAGGGAGAAATGCATCACGCATTACTCGAGTTCTCAGAGAATACTTCTTGTGGGCGAAGGAGACTTCTCCTTTTCGGCGTGCCTCGCGAGGGCTTTCGGTTCTGCAGGGAACATGGTCGCCACCTCCCTTGATGATCAAGGTTAGGTTATGAGATTCCAATCATGACCGTTCGATCACCAGTATTTATATATAATATATTAGTCTTTTTTTAAGATTAAAAAAAATCAATTAATATTTCAAATCTCTTGCATTTCTTCTCTTCGGAAAAAAAAAAAACATATGAAGGCATAACGTTAACAAGCAATGTCTCTGGAATCTTCAATAAAAAATTATATGTTCAAATTTGTAAAATGTAAGGGTTTTTTATTTTCCAGAATAAAATTGAATTAAATAAAATTATAGTACTTTTAAAGGCACAATCTTATTCACAATTAACCAAATCAGCCAACAGTAAAACGCCCAATATGATTTTTCATATCAGATAAATTGTTGTGGAAGTACTTGACTGCTAGAAATAACCTGGATGAGCTGAAAGGACTAGGGTGCACAATATTGCATGGAATAAATGTGGAAGACATGCATGAAGATGACTTCTTGATAGCTAAGAGATTCGATCGAATCATCTTCAATTTTCCTCATGCGGGGCATTATATTCGGCTCCAAGAACATAATGAAGCGCTCATTCTGTAAGTTAATGTGTGTATATTTATCAATTAATAAATGCTGATCTCTTTTTCTTATATATTTTTTTGCCTTTCCTTTCTTTTGTCTAGTATTCACTTTTAGCATATAGTAATTTGGAACTTTGATGCTGATTATTGTTTCAGGATGCACAAAGCATTACTTTGTGGTTTCTTCAGCAGTGCGAGATGCTTACTAAGCGAAAATGGTGAGATACATGTCAGTCATAGGGATGATGAACCTTATAACAAGTGGGAGATTAGAGGTTTAGCAATGGAGAGAGGACTGGTTCTGAAGGAGACGGTGGAGTTTCAGATAAACGACTATCCAGGCTATCTTAATAAAAGGGGAGGTGAAATAAGAAGTGACGAGACCTTTCCACTTGGTTTTAGTTGCTTCACTTTCAAGTTTTCATTGAAATAAAATTTGGAGAATATTGAAAGTTTCAGGAAGGTTTGGGCAGATGAATCATCAAAGCATTTCTCAGATTTGATGACTTAGTTGCTATAGTACTTCTTGGTTAGGCTTTCTTTAATTTATGTATGTCAAAGTTAAATTAAAGCATGGAAAGTAAAGTTTATTGTCTCTATGTCAGAGTTAAATTAAAAGGGGCTTTATCTGTTCTCGTTTGTGAACTGACAGGATTTCTTCTTTGTTAAGGAGGTGGTTGAATGGCTATAATATAGAGCTTGTTTCAGAAAGTAATTCTAGCACTTCACCAATGGCACTTTTTGAACTTTAAATTATTTTAGGATATGTGATGTACAATGCGTAATAATTATAAGATAATTTTTACTTCTATGAAAACTAAGAAAAAAAGTTGTTTTGAAATGTTGCTATGGGCAGTTTCTTAGAGATGATTAATTTTTTTAAATGTTTTATTAAATAATTAATTGGATTTGTGAATAATTCATATAATAAATATTTTAAATTATTATTGATCAATTATGATGATCGCAATAATTATTTCACTAAATTTTCAGTACACGATTGCCAGCACTTATATAAAAAAATTATCATATTATGATAGTAATCTTTTCTAGTGGCTGACATCCTAGCAAAAAATTAATCATCAACTTTGATGAAGATGTTCAAGCATAATGTACAACACAAGGAATTCACGTATAAAATTCTAAGTGTCATTCATTACATCAAATCAATTTACCATTGGCATCTTATTATTTAATTTTTCTCTCAACATATGATCACATGAATATTCACATTAGTTTTGAATTTTATTTGCGATATTTTTTTTAGAAAAATATTTCATTACCCAAAAGTTGGAATTCATTATTTTATGTGAATTTATTTTGGCATTATGCATTACTTTAAATTTTTTTCTAAAGAATGAAGCTACATCCCACTATTAGATATGTTCAATCAAAATGGCTCATGTGAACCAAAATGAATATAAATTCATCTAAATGGGCATTCTTCATGATCCGGGCTTATTAGGGAATTCAACCCAAGAGTGAATGAAAGAAGTGGTACAACCCAATCTGGCCAACTAAGGTTTTGTTTGGGGCAACTGCAATTTATTGAATAATCTGCTGATAAGCTGATTAAAAATCATCTGCTGATAAACTAGGTGCGGTGACTATTACAAATTTTTATTTTTTTGGAAAAGCCAAACTGCTGTCAGAAAGTTGCCACCGCACCTAGATAGGTGCGTTGTGAAAATACTGTTTTTGGCATTTTGAAAATGCATAAGCTGCCAAAACGTGTTTACCCAAACAGACCAAGTGTGTTTTCAAAACGTCATCGCACCAAATAAGCTGCCC